GGATCTCTATTTATGTTTTTAATTTGTAGGACTTTGCATTGAGCTGGGCAAACACAGGAAGGGTAAGCAGTATTTCAAACACATACCTGGAGATCTGGATCCATTCAAGGCCAGGATGGACAGGACTCTGAGCAGCCTGATACAATTGAAGATGTTCCTTTAGGGTACTTTCCAACCCACTCCATTCTGTGATTTTATGGTTTAATTTTTTTCTCTTAAATTCTGGGAATTTTGTCTTAACTGAGTTTTCTTTCATGATTTTTCTATTATTTTCCTGAGAAAGCGGGTGAAACAAGACAGTCAATCTGGCCAAGAATATCCAATAACTTTTAGCTAATCTTTTCTTTTAAAGAATTAGCCCATGGTATGAAATTGGTTTTGCAAAGTTTTGTACAACTATAATCTAACCCCCACAAAGACACCAAGAAAAAATGCTTGTATTAGAAGTTGCCATTAGTTTTGCCATAACTACTGTTTTGTAGTAGATATTATTAAAAATTATTTCCCTGACAGCAATTTTATAGTTTCTTGGTAATGATCTCAAACAAACCTCTCTGAACAAATCTCACAATGAGATCAAATCTTGCACAGAAAGAGCACTCAGGCAACATGAGTGGTTGTATACCTGGTACTTTGTATCCAGAAATTAGCATTTTTAGAGTGAGCACACCTTCCAAATCGCCTTGTTCAGGGCTGCAGGGCACTTGAAAAAAGGTCCAGAATCACGTTTGGTGTCCCCAGACCTGAACTGGGGGTACACAAGGCCCAGTGTCTCCATCAGCTCCAGGCTGACACGCTGCTCTTTGCACCAGAGCAGAATGAATAATCTCCAGCCATGAGTTACTGGCACAGTTAAGGCCAGAGCACAGCTGACTGACATCGGGAACAAAAGACCTTTGGCAAAGCTTCCAGTGCAAAAGCACTGAGAGGAAATTCACTCTTGGCACTGAGCGCTTCAAGTACGAGCAGGAGGAACTGCTGATTAACTAGCTCAGACTCAGACCAAATTCCAAAGGTTGAACAATGGCAATAACACTCTGTTATGTCTCTCTACAGCATGCAAGCAATTTTTCATTCCATTAGAATCCATAGGCAACTCCAGCAGTACATTTTCACAGTCAAATTGATACATATGAGGTTTGGCTTGCAGCTTTCAAAAGAATCAGAAGTACAGAGAATTGTGTACCATCCAACAAGAAAAGCAAAGTTCTGTAATATTAGTTATAGGTGCAGTAGGTTTTGATGGCTCTAACACCTGTCTAAGGCAGGCAGGACACAGTTGTGCCTTGGATGGTGCACAGTGAACTGGGCTGCTGGGGTTTCCTCATAAAATTGAATGTGCCGATCCCTCCATGGGGCTCTAGCAGGTCTGGGGGCTTGATTTCTTCTACAATATGCCCTCTCTGAGGGGCATATTTTTCCCCACATTAGCCTGATTCTTTTTATAACTTCTACCAGTTTGTTTTCTTTTTATAACTTTTACTTCTGCAGTTTGCTGCAGCACTTCTGGTTTACTGGTCTGAAGGTTGCAGGGTCACCTCTGAATCTTTCTCACATATTTTCATCTTCTTTTTTCTTGCCTATGGTAGCAAGGTCAGTGGAAATAATTGATTATACTGAGCTATTGCTAGGTATTTCATATTTGTAGGAATCCCCTCTGTTCCAAGGGTAATGTTTTTTTGACACTTTGATCTGAGGCCTGGAGATACTTTTGGTCTCATTTAGGAACCTCACTGTCCTCCCTTGCTGATTATTGATGCAATTAACATAATCAGGTTTCCTGCAATGGCTTTCTTTTCCAGAACTGCTCCTTTAGTCATGTGTTGGCACCATCAGTTTACCAATTACCTTCTAGGCTGAGGCAAGTGAAAGGCAGTTATTAAGTTTGTATGTTTAGCAAGTCACTCTTCAAACTCCTGTGGGCCTATTTTACACTGGTTTCAGTTAACTTCAGTTAACTTTTCCAAGTCAAGTCTCCTATCTACTTTTCTCCAGAGAATAGGACTTTTTGAAGGATGGCTTTTTTCTCCTGATAACCATGTTCTCTGCTCTTTAGACACGGTAACTACTTTTGATATTTGAAGAGACTATTTAATAGTATACATTTAAACTGAACCTTCATTTGTGCCATTCAGCAGACTCCACGTGGACTGTGCTAGCTGCACTTTTTTTTTTTTACTTAACTTTGCTATTTTAAGGTAAATTGCTGCCAAGCATGATATTTTTTTACTTTATCCACCTGTGAGGATTTGAATTTTAGAATGAAAATGTCCGGACATAATTCTTTTCCTTGCACTTAGAAAGTTGGCAGCTTAGCTCTGCTGAATGTATGTGACCAGTAAGAGGTACTGGCATTCAGGTATGTCAGTCAGTGCCTTACCTCAGCTCTGACTCCTCAGGGGAGCTCTTAGAGCACCTCTGCAGAGCTCAATGGCTGGTACACACTGTAGTAAATGGCACACAATGCTATCCTGTCCTCTGGCAGCTGTGAGAGAACTCTCCAAGGGACAGCCCTGGCCAGGGAGGGGCTGTGCACAAGTGCTCAGTCTCTGGCTGAAGAAGCCGCAGACAAAAATATTACCTTGAGTTCCCCACTTTTCAAGTCCTGGGAGAAACAGTAATTTAGTCCTTTGGTGAACCACACCATGCCAGGAGAGGTTTTCTGAACTCCATGCTTTTCTATCACACTTGACCTGCCAGTTGAGTAACACAGTGTGGCATTATCTGATTTCTTCAGTGCTTACAGCAAAATGACTTCATAATAAAAGCATTCCCATTCTCCTATACAACTTCAGATTTCGCCAGAGTGTTAGGTTTCTAATAATGAAAAACATGGCTTATTTCAGATGATAAAGTAGCCATAAATAAAGAGCACACAGGAGCAGGCTGACAAATAAACTTTTTATATGTTGGGTATGTATGGGGATGTAGTTTGTGGTGACAGCACATTGCTCAGAAAAGCGGGTCATATGCTGCTTCCTATTATACCAGTGTCAACCCAGAGAATTTCCATTGTCTGTATTTCAACCAGTTCAACTAAGATAAAGATCTCTGCACAGAATTTCATAGCCTTTTTGCCACTGTATAGTATTATTAAAAAAAAGGAAGTACTGTAGGGGTCAAATTACTTTCAATATTGTTTGTGATAATAAATGCACTACAAATGGTTGTGTTTCATCCATTAATCATAATAAAAGCACAAAAAAGGCTGAAATAGATTTCAGTAAGGTATCAAGCCCTTCTCTTGCAACGTTTTGAAATTTAGGCATGTGGTACAAGGCAATGCTTGTCACTGTGACTGTCACTGGAAGCCAGACACTTCAGGGTAAGCATTGCCATTTTAGGTTGCATAATGATTGGATAAGGATCAAGTCCTCTATCCTTAGACTACCTGTAGTAAAAAGAAATTAAGATTAAATAACTGAAAGGACAGTAGAGAGGATGGTTCAGAGGGACAAGTGAAGAGGTATTCAAAAAGCATCATGCCCTGTGCATGTACCTAAGAACAAGAAGAAGAAAAGGGGAAGCTCTGTGCAGGGCTGGGCTGGCAGAATGCACACAGCTCTAAGCCCGGAGTGGTTCCCAGCCCCTTCCCCTGCTGATCTCTGGACCTGAGTAACAGGGGCAGATGTGCTGGGAGCCCTCCCAGCCCCAGCAATGCCCTCTCAGCAGCCCTTGCCAGGGCTGTGATCCCTGACCTGGAGGGGAAAAGGAAGTGCTAAATGTGCCACGGGTTGGAGAGGCACAGCAGGTGTTGTTTAGCCTGGGAGTGATGCTCCAGCCAGCCAGAGCCCTGGGAGGGAGGCTCACCTAACTGGCAGTCCCGAGCAGGGGAACTGAACAGAGACAGGGACAAAAGTAGGGCAACATCCATGGACAAAGCCTGAGCAGCTTAAGTCACACTAATGGAAAAAGGGATTTGAGTCGCTGAAATCTGTTACATCGAACTGAGATGAAAATATAACCTAAGTATTTATTTCTGGGCTGTAAGAGTGCTGGGAGAGAGGAGAAATAATGCTTACCATACTCCTGTTCTGGAGGATTTTTTTTAACCTATTTTTAAATAACAGAGATGTTATATCCAGTCTAAATATTTACATTTTTTTGTATGCAAATTCAAGAAAAATTTGAAATCTGGTTGCAGGTTTAAACACTTCACACATAGACATACTAAGCTCCTGATCCCATATTTCTCCAAATATCTTTCGTTATGTGCTCTCACAGAAAACAACAGCAAACAGCTACACAGAAAAACCTTTTTTGTTCTTTTCAAAAAAATTAAACATAATATAGGCTCTTTCTAAGAGATCAATATAAAGCAAATATTACATAACAATTAATCAAATGCTGTATGTGAAAGGGCAAAATGTAGATCCTATTCAAATTTGTAAAATGTAAAAGAAAAACCAGAAAAATTTGCTGTTTCTCTGTTCCTAAGTACCACAGAAGAATCTGCTGGTTTTTTGTAATGGAACAGCACGGAGCAATATGAATAATTGAATTTCAGGAGCTTGTTTCTATCTAAGCAGTCTCATTTCATAACCAAGTCAAATGAGCTCTACCATTCTCACTGGAATGGGAGCCATGTAGGTTCATTTTCATTTTATGGATGAAATTATTGGAAAAGAAACATGGTGACTTGCCTGGTGCAATGCAGAATACTGTCTAAAGAAGAAATGGCCCCCAGGTCTGTGGCCATCTCCTTGTGTGCATGAACCTCTAGGCTTACCAGCATGTAAGAAAATGAATTTCCTGACTATTCAAATTTTTTCTTTTCTCAGTTGCAGGATAATAGTAATACTTCTGAAGATATTAGCATTATTTATATTAGATAGAAGGCAGTTTTTAAAGCCAATTCATGGTTAATTTCCTCTGGGGCAAATTCTGCCTGTGCTTTCCAATACTTAATTTATGCTGCCATTAATAGCACTTCCATGGGTTGACCTGTCTGGAGTGGCAGGAGGATGAGGGGCAGGGAATGGGAAAACCCACAGGCTTACCTGCTCACTTCAGGAAACGAAGGTACACCCAATCCCTTGCCCTTCTTCTGGCCTCCTGTGAAAGCTCATCTGAAAGCACCACACATTAACACATTTATTCCTTCTGCTTCATTTGAGCTATGGCAAAGCTGGTGGAAACTGTCATTTTATCCTTGGAGAAAATAAAAGATCTCCTGGGAAAAGCAGAATTTTACTATTTTAGTCTACCTTTCTCAACCCCTGCTTAAAGGAAAAAACCAGACCATAGTGGTTTATTTTGGTTTATTTTTAATACATTGACTAAAAAGTTGTGCTGAAATTCAGATACGCCTTTTCTCTGAGCAGTCAGTGACCCCAGGCTACACACAGTCCATGGCAAAGAGGCACCTAAGAACATGTTTCATTCTCCTTCCCTTCTTGTGGCTCAACACAGAGCTCAGTGATACAAATGCTAGAGCCAAGCTGCAGTGGTTGTGCCAGCTGTGGGGGAAGGGTGGTCAGCCCTGTGGCTGAACTCCTCACCTGTTCCTGTGGGGAGAGGGTGCCTGGCAAGCACATAGATGGCTCCTACAGAAGGTCACCAGAAGTGTTCATGCACACCCTACTTATTTCTGCACAGATTTCATTGATTCAAAATGCTTCTGAGCCTCTCTCTCCCCTTCTTGATAGAATTTTTATCATGTTTTTAAATCTTTGCCAATTTCAGTGTGGCTGATTTAATTTCACACAAAAGAAGTGTGGGAGCAGCAGTCTTGGTTCCCCTGGATAAACACTGGACTATGTGCTACTTGTGCTTGGCTACGTCAGCTGTAAGCCCTCAAGGTATCAAGTCCTTCCAGGTAAGACATAAATCTTTTGTCAATGAAAAAGGCACATTATCTGCTTCTCAGCTGTTTGTTTTCCAAAAAGCTGCCTGATCAACAAGATAAATATTCAAGATGGTTATTTAAAAGAAAAAATAAAAGTAAAGCCAGGAGACTTTTTCTTATGTATTGAACCTTTATGAAAAATCATAGAGACTGGGGATCTGTACTCATGGCATGACTCAGATCAGTCTAAAAATGCAGTAGTGCAGGAAAAGGATTTTTAAAGGGGTAAAGAACTTAATAATACTTTGGCTGTAAAATAATTTTTACTTTCTAAGCCAGTCCATTGCAGCGAAGCTCCAGATTAACTCCTAAAACAACTGGGTGCAGATTTCCTGGGTTGACCAAGCTGGAACAGGGTCAGTCCAACTGAGGGATTGTGAAGAGTGTCATGTTGAACTGAGATTTTTATTCTCAGTAAATATCTTCTTGTTCCCAGGTATCTTCATGCTGAAAATTGTGAAGAAATTAAATTCATTACTAGCCAAAAGGCAACAGATAAAAGAGTAATGGAATTATTATTTCTCTATGAAACCAGTTACTGTCTTTTCTATTTTCAACTTCTGTAGGTATTGAATTTTAATTTTGGTATTATTGATACCATTTTAAGGTGATCTCACCTGTGTATGGGTAAGCTGATAGAGCTACCCAGCACTGTTGGCCTTGCACTATCCCAAATCCCAAAACAACCCCAACACAGAGCCCTACCTTTCTCTGTAATTCATCTGTTTGTCACAAAAATCCTTCTTAACCACCTGGGAACTCCTCACAGCATCATGTGTCCATTTTTCAGCCTCTTACCCTGTGATCTGTCAGATGCAGCAATTTGTGATGCCCCATTCAGGAGTTTCTCAGGCCATGCTCTGTGAGGTGTGCCCCATTCCCTGAGCACAGCCACAGCCTGGGAGAGAAACGTGTGCATTCTGCTGGGACTAAACCAGATCCCCATGGTATGCAAAAGGTGAAAATACCAATGTTTCTGGAGTGATGGGATACCCCTTTTCCATGCTGCTTAGTTCCTGATCAATTATGGAAATTACTGAAAGAAAGGAATGCACCATCTGGTCCCAGACAAAGGCAGCACCTTGAGTTAAATAAGAGCTTGAAAGGGACAACAAGATGTTTGTGGCAGCCTAAGGAACTGGAGGCCACTGCAGGAAGCTGCTCCAGTGAACAATGGACTCAGAGCTGACAAAACAAAACTTTGAGTTGAGAAATGTATAGTTTAGGAGAAATGTCTTTAAATGAGGAGGAATGGAAAACTAAATAAAACCATGATAATCATTGGGACTGTACATAAGATTACTTATATTAGATTTGGATAGGTCCTCAGAGGAAAATAAAAACATTTTGGTGTAAAAAAGACCAGCCACAATAGCAAAGTGGGTAGTCCTGGAAGTGCATGGGCCTTTTCATGTGCAATTTTGGAAAACCAAGCTATGCAGATATGATTTGTTGCATTTTTGCTATAGAAGGTTTTATCCCATGTTTATGATTTTAGTATTAATAAACATTATCCAAGTCAAGCATAAAATGAGCAGCTCATTCAGCACATTCACTGGAATTTCCAGTGTATTTATCATTTTCTTCTGGGAGCATGGATATAGCAATGATTAGAAAATAATATGGCAGGAAACTCTTGATGTTAAACATTTGAGTAATGCATTACAGATTACAGATCTCTGACTTTTCAGATTTAAATATTTTCAAAGTTTTTCTGAAGCCTTTGGCATATTTTCTCCTAAATATGTACAAGCAAGACAGAAGATTCATAGAGGACTCTGGTCTTCTGTTATTGTTTAAACACTGATGCTTAAGGTTTAAATTTACAGAGAAAAAACCCCATTCTACATCAAAACTAAGGTGTTGCATGTTTATTTACAGACCAAGCTCCAGTAGTAATGTGTATTTGTCATGGAAACTGATTTGAGTTTAATTCTAGTCTCTCTTTTGCACTAGGAAAATGTGAGTTTCATTTTACTTGTCTCTGTTTTCAATTATAATTTGACAAAAGAAATAACCACATTACCTATTTGATTTGCCAGAACTTTATCCCAGCACCACCTGTTGAGCCCTCGGCACTTGAATTCTGACATAGAGCAGAGAACAAAATTATGCAGTTGGCATTCTAACCAGCAAGGATGCCAACAAAAGCATAATATATCCTTTGTACTCAAAGCACAACAAAATATATATTAAGCTACCAACTGCAAAGGTTTAAGCAAGCCACATTTAATTATACATGAACATATCTTTCCAACAAATAGCTCAGTAGAAAAAATGATGTGGAAGTTAGAAAGAACCCTTTTGGTTTGCTTTAGTAAATACTGCAAGCTTAAAATAAACAATGTTTCACAATACCATATAGATTTACATCAGAGATGGCAAGAGGACAGCCAGCTGGTTTATTCAACTAGATGGGTTCAACACTATCAGCTTCCCAGCTTAAACAAAACACCCCATGTTCACTTCTGGTGGGAGATCTGCCCTGGTATCCCAGGAAGGTGGAAGAAGAGGCTCCCAGTACTTGCCTGGGTCCAGATCTCTCTTCTGCAAGCAACTGGGAACAAAATAGACAGGATTATGTGTCTTTGATGCATGTTTGTGAAAGCAGCACTTTGCCACAAAAATACTCACAAGTGCTTCCTTGGCTCTCCTGGCCTGAGTTCTGCATGGAAGAGGGATGGAAGCTGAGGGAGGCAGGACAGGTCAGGAGGGATGAGGCAGAAGCTTTGCTCCCCAGTTCTGCAGAGGTCTGCACAAGGGCTGGGAACTCACAGGGGATTTTCACACTGGGAAGGGCTACCAGTAGTTCTAGCAGTGAAGTTAGAGCTTCCAGAATTTGCTAAAAGGTATGAATCAAATCACTACACACTTTTTAAGGGACCATTTTAAAATACTGGTGATAGTGACAATTCTCAGATTTTTGTCACCTCTCCAATAAATCTAAAAGAGATTTAACTGGGAAAAAAACCCAACTAATTTGGTAAACAAGGGAACAAACTGACCACAAATCACAAAATAATGTAAAGATTTTACTTACTGTGCTAACTTTTGAATCCTGAGCTGCTTAAGTAATCCCTTCCACAGTGGGCTCATGCAAGCCTAAATGGACAACACCTGTTAGATCCCCCAGATACAAAGCTCTGTTGCCTGACTCCTGAAAGGTATTATATGTAACCCAGAAAGTTCAGTGAGAACATCCTTGGATAGGAAGTGGGACATCTCCTATTGTGTTCAGAAAAGTGGAGAAAGTTTTGCCTGTGGGTTGCTCTCTTACCAATGCATTACAGCAATCACACTCAGCAGAACTTGCAGAATCTCCATCTTTGGAGGGTTCCACTGGACTGGACACAGCACAAGTGACCTGAAGTAATGAGACCTGTGTTGAGAAGGGGATTGGATCACTTACAGAAGTTTTTTTCAACCTAAGTTATCTAAAACTGACCTAAAGAAATCAGAACGTTTTCTCTTACTGTTATTAAATTTTAAATAAATACAATTTTTGTCTTATTTTTAAAGATTGGAATAACATATTTACTATTTATAATAGCTCCCAAAACATATTTTTTGTAATTGGGAATGTAAATGTACTTTGATTGTTTTATTTTTTTTTTTTTTACTTCAGGGATTGATTAAATAGAGGCACATTCATAAATGGTCCCATAAGTATATTGGGTGCCTGTGGTGTCATTCCAATCAGTTGATGAAAGTGCTTGCCTAAACTCTGAAATGGGGGTTTGAAACTTACCCCAATATCCTTAATTCTTCGGTGCTGAAAATGTAACCTGACAATTGTTAATGAGAAAACCTTTCCTTCAAATTTGTAACAGAAACTGTAAAACACTTTCTAAGAGACAGACCATATTTAGGAAAGCCAAATCTAGTTGATCTCTCCTTCTCAATTGCAAATATCTCTTGTGGTAACCACATTTTATTCAGGAGAGTAAGGCTACAGGAAGTACACATATGACAGATAGTCTGGCATTATCCACTCCTGGATTTCTCAGATGTCTAACAGCCAAGAAAATGTTCCATCCTTTTAATTTCTTTCAAATGGCTGATCCTTTGTAGTATTTACTCTAAATGAAAGCTTCAGATGGAGTATCTGGATAGTGTTTGAAAAAGGCATCAAAGAACTCTCCTGTAATATAATCCATCATCTCCTAATTTCTCCCTTGTTCAGAGTAGTACAAATGCTTCAATTGCAATGTGGATGAAGCTTCAAATTTTAAAACCATAAACTACTTAGAAAACTCACTCCAGAAATGCACTGTGTGGTTTACTGCCTTCCACGATCTCTCTAACATTCCTGGCACTTTGCTGCTTCACAATAGCCACTGGAAACACTTCCTTGCCCAGCAGACACACAGGAGAGCAGCAAGTGGACTGATGAGCAGGCTGAGCTTGACAAGTGGCTTTTTCACCCTTGACTGCTGTTCTGAATTTAATGAACCCACCCTGAATATTTGAGGCAAGCGTTTCAGCTTGACATGGAAGTTCTTGCATGTAAAACAGATATGAAAATATGAAATGATAAAATATGAATATGAAGGTCTACAGGTAGATTATAATGACTTGTACAAAAAGCAGCACCTTTTCAGGCAATTGTTAAAAGTCTGCTATGAGTAACCCAAATGCCTCAAAGACTGTTTAGCTCCTTTTTCACTCAACAGGTAATTTCTATTAATGCCTTGTATCATCATATAAAGTAGGAGTCACTATTGAATTTAATTCCACTTAATTCTGGACCATTTGGGAAGCATTAATGGTTCTGGAATGAAATGTCAATGGTTCTTTCATTAGTGTAGTGTTTTGTGTCTGCAGCACTGCTGCAAGGGAATGCCCTCACTGCATCATGCTTCTTTTATTTGAGTATTCTGATAGTGCACACACACCCCCACCCCCTTCAGAAACCACTGACCCTAGGGATCCTTTCACTTTAAGCTGAGTTTACCTGTCACTGAAGGTGACTGAGGTCAGCTGGCTTAAAATGACTGATCTATAACCCACACTTCCCGAAGAGATAATTTAAATCCAAAGAGAGAGTCTCATAAATTCCCAGGGAGATCTTAGTATCATAAAAATAGACTTGACACCACTCCAAAGTTTAGCCTCTGCCTTGACAAAGAGGAATCTAAGTCAGCTCTGGAGCACATCCTTCACAGGAGATACTTCTCAAAGTTCTCCTCAGCAGTCTGTGTCTTCCTTATCTTTTGGCAACTTGTCACTGATCCCTCTGCCAGCTTTCACTGATAGTGAGATACTGCAGCTGATGAAGGTGGGAGAGAAAAAGAACTTCTCTGTATCTCCTCCTTGACATCATTATTTGTGCTGATACTTCTGTAGAACTGTGCTCAGGGTGATGCAGGGCACAGACAAGCATTTGCATAGAAAAATCTTACCATACTGAAGAGAATTCTATAGAAACAGCTCTAGGAGTTTATTGTATTTGGAGAATGAATCTTGAATTTTTTGAATGACCTATTAAAGATCTACACCAAGAGCAACATTTGGTATTACATTCTGTGGAGTTTTTGCTGGAACTCGTCCTGTTCTGCTTCCTGCCCGTCACAATCACACTGTTCCTTCGGCAACCTGAGCCCTTGACTGGAAACTGCTTGAGATTTACCCAGTATTGCTTCCCAACACAAAGTGATTTCCTGTCTCAAATGACTAAAATGTTGCATGGAGCAGAGAAGGACTCTAATTTCACTGTCACCTCTGGGCTGGCGAGATGATTTATCCGTTTGTGTATGTGTCGAAGGCTGCCCGTGAGGAGCAGGCTTTGGGAAGGGGCACGAAGGCAGGTGATGATGTCATTTGGCAGCACCCAATACTGCCTGCTTTCATTGGCACTTCCCCATGTAGGCAGCTATGCAGACCAGGCAGCATAACCAACACTCATGAAATTACCATCAATTGTCTTCAAAGAATTGCCCTGATTGTCTTAAGACATATAAACACATTTTACCACAGTGATATTGACAATTACAAAGCGACAGCCAATGCACAAGGAACTTCTTCCATTATATTGCAGTAAAACCAAAACCACTATGACTCTTGCCATGCTTGTTCAAAGTTTACACAAATTTGGTTCAATGAATGTGGTGGAAAATTATATCCAATATTTTGGGTATTGGCCCATACACCTCCTTACATCTCAGCAGTGCTTCTTTCAGCTTTTAAAGCAGATTTCTAAATTCAGTTTCATTTTATTTGTACTATAATGTTTAAAAAATAGACCACATTAAATAGAAAATCATTTTAGCTCTGTAAAATGGGGTTCATCATGATACTTTTTTTTTTTCCTATTTGGAAACAATAGGCAGTGATTTGGGCTCTGCTTTTCTTGGATGCTGCTGTTCTATGGTTATCTACTGCCTCTAAGGGCAATTGCTCCTCACATGCTATTGACATAAATCATCTTGTGATGGAGCTGGAGATGGCACGATGCTATACTGAAGGGAACTGGTATGGTGGCAAAAACCATGGGGCTTGTCCTGTCTCACTACCAATGTCATTAAATTTCTGTGGGCTGGAAGTTGAGTGAAATCAATAGGGTATTCAGATGGACTTTTTAATGGACTATGAATGCTATTGACAACAACTATTTCATAATGGAGAGGCTCCTCCTTCCCCTCCAGTTTCAGCATTATAAAGGAAGACTAGGTAACATGGCCTGTTTTAAAACCCTGAACTATTATCTTGGAATATTTTATTATTTTGAATGGCTCAGCTTTCTTACATGTCACTGGAAACAATCGAACCAGAAATCTTTTGTCAGAAGGAAAGTTTGCAGACAGCAAGCTAAAATATTTGCTTGGTTGTCTTTGGCACTCCTAGTATTTAAACGTGGGGCATTCCAGGACTGTCGATACGTACAGGACTCTTACCAGGAGTTATAAGCAGAGATCAATAGTTCTTCCTACAGCAGGTCATCGGGCACATAACTTACTGAAATGGAAGGCTCAGTGCTTTTGACCTCCCTCCTGCCTCAACAAATAAATCTGGGGTAGGGCAAGCATATTGCTTGGGGTCCTCTGGAAGTCCCTCCATTAAGCACAGCCCCTTGAGGAAAGAATTAATTTGTTTAACCGTGTTAGGCACTGCGATTGCAGACGAAGCATGAGGGGGCCTCTGATAATAGCTGGTTGCATTCACAGGGGATGTGGGCTCTGCTCTGCTCCCTGTGCTACGCCTGTCTGTGCTTCCCTTGTGGGCAAAATAAGAAGGGGCTAAGTAGGTGTCCTAATACATAGTCTAAAATTCAAGAGAATTAACCTCCGATGGGGAACTTTCTCTCCTAAAGCGCGCCTTCCTTCTGATGATCTTTTGGAGGGCCAGCAGCACAATGGCAAAGCAGCCATAGGTGCTGCAGATTTACATGGAGAATTCAGCGCCTCCCGCCTCCGCGGTGCCGCCACGGCTTCGGCTAAAGGCGCGCTCCCAGCTCTGCG